CCATACTAACTCTGACTGTTGTTACACAGACTGCAACCTGTCACTGTCTTAAAGTCAAGATTACCACGGGAAGGACCAAACTGACCAAAGGGAAACACAGAGAAAGAGGAAGCAGAGACTCAGAGATGCAGAAAAAGGGCAGAGGAGAACGTAACAGACACACAAATCAGATACTCACCTTGACCAAAATCAGAGGCTCTGTATAGCAATGAGAGACAGGACTCAGATTCTGGGGTATCTGAGGGCAAAGCCTGGACAGGTAACTAATTTCAGAATCTTTTGTTTATGAAAAGATATACAGCTGAACTCAGAGTCTGTGTCTTAATGTTCCAACAATGGGAAATAACTGTGCTTTCTGATTAGCCAGGTACAATCCCAGTATACATCTGCTTCCCTGTATAATTATTAATAGCAAGCCCCTGCATCCTCAGAAGTGTCCCAGTTTAAACGAAAATTATATGATCACCCTGCCTCAATGCCACCTGCCACAGTGAAACGTGTTGACACGATTTTCCAGGCCCAGTGCAAAATTCAAACGTGAGGCCTTTTATTCAAAAGGAAAGGAAAAAAAGTGCTACTAAGGATACTGAAGGGTTTCCCTAGTCGCTCAGTGGTAAAGAATCCACCTGCTAATGAAGGAAACTGGGGTCATGCCTGGCCCCGGAAGGTCCCACATGCCGTAGAGCAACTAAGCCCCTGGGCCACAACTATTGAGCCTGTGCTCAAGAGCCCAGAAGTCACAACTACTGAAGCCTCTGTGCCCTGGAGCCCAGGCTCTGCAACAAGAGAAGCCACTGCAGTGAGAAGCCCTCACACCACAACTGGAGAGCAGCCTCCGCTCTCTGAAAACAGACAAAAGCCCAAGCGGCAACGAACACCCATAAATACATAAATAAATAAATTTTAAAGTTTTATTGAAGTCTAAAGCTGTATTTTTTTTCTTTCGTGTATCTGTTCCGCTCACATCCCATCGTCCCACTGGACTTCACGTGCAAAGCACAACTTCCAAGATAAAATTAGTATGAATTTCAAGACATTGATGGCACAGCATCAAACTAAGCTTGAGGTCCTTCAGACTTGGCAGCCCTGTGCGACCATATAAGACACACCCTTGAAATCAACCCTGGTCTGTCCTTTCTCCAGGAAACCAGTTACAACCTACTATTGTCCAGACTCTGGACATCAAACACTGGATATTAGGTCTATAAAAGCATTTTCTTCTAGAAATATTTTAGAGTATTCCTAATGAAGCCTAGACTTTCATTTCCCAAGCAAAACAAGAACAGAAGTTCAAATTGTCACTCTCTACCATTTTACCTAAGACCTAAAAATAATCAATTCCAATAATATAATCTATCCAAGGACCCAAATGAAAATTTAGACTGCAGTGGATTTAAATAACAGTGCTACAATGTCCTTAATACCTTGATACCTGATTTAAATAGTTTCACTTTTAAATGCAGACACTACATTTTTAACTTAAAGCTTCTTGTTACATAATACACATGTGCCTGAGTGAAACTTAACTTCCACCATCTATACAGACCAAATGGGAAAAAAAACTCAGGAATTTAGGGATGATTGAGGAACTGTCCTTAAAAGTGCGGCAGGAGGTTCAGAAGACAAATTCACTAATTCATCCATTCATTCGTGCAGTAAGCATTTATTGAGTACTTACAATGTCACAAGTACCGCACAAAAGTCTAGGGAAACAGAGGTGAGTAAAATGTGGCCCTGTCCTCAAGAAGCTTGCATTCTAGAAGAATGAGCCAAAGCAAGTCAGATACCTGCCCAAGCTTGTTCTGGCTACATGGTAAGAAGTGACTACAGAGAAGAGGGGGTACTGAACAGTGAGCACTCTAGCCCAGGCAAGATGGAGGGAGGGACTCATGAAAGTTTTACTGAAGGTGATCAAGAGTCTTGAAAGCCTGGGAGGAAGCCAGCAGGTTGCTAAGGGTTAGGGAGGAGCAGAACAAGAGGACTGAAGCAACCCATGGGAAGAGGGCACCCCTCAAATGACAGCAGCAAGCTTCAAGGTCAGAGCCTTGTTCAGACAAGAAGTGTGTGCCTGGGTGGCTACTGGAGAGAAGGTGCATATCGATCATACAGACTGATAAAACCAGCAGATGAAAAAGGCAATGTTCACGGACTATCTGGGGGTGGGAAGAAGTGATGGTGGGGAAGGTGGGGGAGGGGGGAAGTGCTCTCTCCTTAAAAGGCCAAGGGTGGGAAAGAAGAGAAACTATCTTATTAAAAAAAGTTTCCCCTCAGGCTATATGATCACTTAATCCAGAGAAATAACACAGTTTGCTTGCTCCTTTATGGCTGTGTAAGTAAAAATATGTTCTCAGGAAAACTAAAAATACGTTTTTCATCTCTGTAATAAAGATCAGAATTACCCTCACGCTTGCAGATGGGCTCAAGTTTTGACAGAAATCAAAAACAATGACTAATTAACAAATATTTAAATTTGAATTGGAAATCATTATCAAATGTTTGCAACAAATTTACCACTGCACTTATTTAATACTACAGCTATTTAAAGATTAAAAAAACAAAAAACTTCTTTTGTCTGTATTTCTGACCATTCCCTAAGGATGGATTCCTAGAACAGGAATTACCAGGTCAAAGGGTTTGAATATTTTTAAAGCTCTTGGTGTGTATCAGTTAGGATAAAATTAAAACTAGATTGGCTAACCAACTGAAGGTAACCACATGAAACATATAAAAAATTAAATGCTGCTACAAATAATACCCCCAAAAGAAAATCTAATGATCTATTACAGGCAGATCTTAAATTTTCAATGTTTATAAAACCAAAAGGAAGCCAGAGGAGACTTCTGTTTAGGCGGACTTTCGGGACAATTAGTGTTGGTGTGTGTGTGAACATGTACATGAAAACAGCAAATAAAAGGAAAAGTGGAAGAGTTCATAATTTATAAATGAGATAAAAATAATGAATCATAAAATGATCGACTAACAGTAAAATGCAATCTATTTTATACCTCTCATAATTTCTTACCTAACTCTACATAGAATTATATCATCATTTTAAGTAATCAGGTGTTAAGACTAGAGGAAAAACTGATATTTTAAATAAAAATCAACACATTGGTTTTTAAGGTAGGTTACGTTAGCTATTTTTGTAAACTAGGAGTGTTTTGCTCAATACTATTCCCCTATACCTCCAGAAAGACGTTCCTAAGGCAACTTGAAAAGTTACTCAGATTCTTCGAAAGTCAAAGAACTTGTTCGCCAACAAAGTTTCATGAAAGTCAAATCTGAAGCTGTGAAAAATCAAGTTTGCTTTAAAAACATTTTTTTTCGACAATGACGCATGGAAGTGTACAATCCTACTTATCACCAATTACCAGTATATTTGGAAATATCCACACTTTTCCAAAGAATATGGCCCCTGGGGGCTCAAGTATATCGATTTTAATTTGAGAAGTGAACCAGAAGCCAATCAGTGCGTCTCACACCAAGAACTTAATTTCCACTATCACGATTATCAGCAGATAGTGTACCTCTCTCAAAACACTGCGCAGGAAGTTTGGCCTTTGCAGACCAAGGGGAATGGAATAGGGTGGTGGAAAGAGGAGGTTAGAAGATTGAGGGAGATTTTCGCAAAGGCTAAAGGTCCTCTGTGTCTGAATGATGCTCTCCTGCGCGTCTCGGTGGAGAGAAGCCTACCATCAAATTCTGTGTCTAGGCAGCAGCGAACAGAAAAATATTCAGCTTCTGAGTGATGTCTAAGAAGTTTCTTTCACTGAGTTTTGCCCCTCCTGGTTCTAAAATGAATGAAACATTTTCAGAGCACACACTTCCAATGAGTCAAGCTGAAACTCCGAAACAAAGTTCCTGCCAGTTTCAAGAAATCCTTAAGTCGCTGGATGGGAGATTTATTACACGGCTTCTCTGGGCTCAGGGCGAACAGGGGACCCAAGAGCTGAACCCACGGGGGTGGGGATTTAAACCCCGGGTTGGGGGGTGGAGGGAGGAGGTAGGAGGACTACGATGGCGGTGAGCAGTTCCTGTGGCTTTAATATCCCACAGCTGCTAGAGATCATAACCCCGCTGCTCTCTGTGCGCCCCCCCGCCCCGCGCCCCCAAATTATTATAACTAAAGAGGCTTCACTGCCGTGTGACCTGAATAATGAACTCAAGTTCCATAAGAATCAAGGATTAAAAACAAAAACTAAATGTACATGAACGTAGCAGCTAGACTTGAATCACCTAGCCAAGTCTTAAAAGAAAATCCAAACCGCCGCCCCCCGCCCCAGAGAAGAAGAGAAGGTGGGGGAAAAAAAAATCACAACGCACTCGAGCAGACCAGGGAGTGGGTAGAGGTGAGAGACGGGAGATAGAGCAGCAGAGATTCCCCGAACAAGAACCTTCTCCCACGCAAGCTAACTTTTGGCCCCGGCGCGTCTGGAGGCATGCAGCATCCCCCCGCCGGGGGCCCCAGCGTGGGCGCGCACACTAGGGCGCCCGCGACTACCGGACGGGTACCCAGGTGCCCACAGACAATGCCGCCCGCGCGACCGCGCCCCCAAATTATTATAACTAAAGAGGCTTCACTGCCGTGTGACCTGAATAATGAACTCAAGTTCCATAAGAATCAAGGATTAAAAACAAACAAAAACTAAATGTACATGAACGTAGCAGCTAGACTTGAATCACCTAGCCAAGTCTTCAAAGAAAATCCAAACCGCCGCCCCCCGCCCCAGAGAAGAAGAGAAGGTGGGGGAAAAAAAATCACAACGCACTCGAGCAGACCAGGGAGTGGGTAGAGCTGAGAGAGGGGAGATAGAGCAGCAGAGATTCCCCGAACAAGAACCTTCTCCCACGCGAGCTAACTTTTGGCCCCGGCGCGTCTGGAGGCATGCAGCATCCCCCCCGCCGGGGGCCCCAGCGTGGGCGCGCACACTAGGGCGCCCGCGACTACCGGACGGGTACCCAGGTGCCCACAGACAATGCCGCCCGCGCGCGCCGCTCACCGACACCAGGAACTCCAGCGTGCCCACGTAGTCGCGCTCGGTCTTCTGCAGCTCGCTGAGCACGCACACGCGCAGCCGGAGCTGCTTCTCCAGGTCCCGGGCGCTCTCGGCGCGCCCGTCCCCGCGACCCTCGTCGCTCATGGTGGGCGCCCGGTCGCGCGCCCGCCGCTGCCCCGGGTCCCGCGCGCCCGCCGGGGAAAGTGGCCGCCTCCGCCGGGTCCGCTGTGGGACGGGCGACTTTACGTGCGGCGGAGAGGCGGGGGGCGCGGGAAGAAGGAGGGGGCGCCGGGCGCGGGAGGCCGGGGGAGCTCAACAGAGGCCGCTCCCGGGGGGCCCGGGGACCTGCGCGCCGCGCCCCGCGCGGCTCTGGCCTCACGCGGCCCGGGCTGGAGGGGAGGCGGCTCCGGCAGCCCTGGCGGTGACTTGGACATTAATCAAATGCTTTGTATCCATGTGACTCCGACCCTTTACCCTTCGCCAAATCTCAGGAAAAAGGAAGCACAACCCTGGGGAAGTGTGTTGCGTGCCAGCTAACTAAACACACACACGCGCTCACACACACACACACGCACACACACAGTCAGCACTGGAGATGGAACTCATTGGAGATTCCCAAACCCAGGAGGACGGACTCCAAGACACAGCTCGAGGGTTTGCTCCCCAGACTCGCGCCTATTGTTTAGCGTTAATGTGTTTTGTACAAATCCTGAAAGCAAAGAAACTAGTCCCCACGGTTACATAACTGGATGGGAACAAAAACAACCGTGGTATTGACCCTCCCGTCTTTGAAAAGAAACACATTGATGGGGGTTTTATTCAGGCACAAAACAGGTTTGCTTTCAACCGCCCCGCCCCAACCCCCAACCAAGACTATTTCACCAGGCGGATACCCTCTTGCCTGCACTGGGGAAGTTAATTAGCATAATAAATGAAGACGCTATGGGAAAGTGACAGCCTGGCCCATACAATAAACTCCAGATACAATAAGTATCGTCCTGGCACGGTAGTGTTTTGGAGGGAGAGCTTTTGCATGTCTATAACTCTTTTTCAACGTGAGGAGAGAATGTAAATTCAACCAGAGGCAAGAATATTTGTGCTAGTTTTGTTTATGAGTTGCTATGATTTATGACAGTGTCACTAATTGAAAAGACAAAGTATGTTATTGACTGCTCATCAAAAGATATACAGACATAGTTACAGATCCATAAATGTAGGTACAGATGTAGACATAGGTTCTTAGGATTTGAAAATGGACAGAACCACAGAGCCTGTCTTGATTTTAATGTTTCTGTTTATTGCCTTTTCTCATTTAGAGCCAAAGCCAGGTCCTAATGAGCAATTAATTTAACAAGCAACCAAACAATCCATATGTATTTTTGGTCTTGATACTATCCATGTATATCTTTTAGAGTCATTTTTTCCCACTTTGAACAACTTTAAACAGTTCACCCTAGTGATATTTAAATAAACCGCAGAGCGAATGGTTTTGATGCAAAAAAGTGGCATGTTCATCTGTTCCAACAGTTGAAAGCATTAAGGAAACAAAAAATTAAGATGACTTTCCCATTATTTACGTTAAAATAATTATCATGTTTCCAGATGATGTCTTTTCATAGCATGGTTTGTGATAAATCACTATACCCCTCTGTAATGAAATCTAGAAGGATTGTTCTTTTCTTACACTAAGGGCACAGTTTTTGAATGATGTATGAGGAGCTGATGGATAAGATGCAATTTTTCTCTTTCTTTTGCACACGGCTGTTTAGAGCAGAGGACAAGTAAGTAAATATCTTCACACCCTATGGCAGAAGAACAAAGGACCAGGCACATTAAAGAGCAGACCCCACAGTGCCTGGTAAACAATAAACAAAAGGAATGGAGCGGAAGACTTAAGAAACACACACCCCATAATGAATGGGAAAATCAAACACGATTGAACCTTTTCACAATGTACTCCGAGCAGCAAGGAATGAATGCATTTCCTCCTCCCCAGTCAGGAGCCTTCTCTAACGCAAAAAGTAAGTAAATAAATCATGCTTTCCATCAGGTGTTCATCTAGATAAAATAATATTTCTTTCTTACCGACTGTCCCCAATTGAAGAACTGTGTATGCAGTTTTCTTCCATCAGAAAAGGTCTGTACAAAACCCACAAAAGAATGTGTTGAAAAAAAGGTAGTGGAATCTAGCAAGAAAACAGTTGTTTAAATGTGCAGATTCGGATTTCTCTCAGAAGTACTCATGTAGAAATTAAGATACTAATAGTTTCTGCTCACTCCATGACATCATTTATAATTAATGAACAGCTTCAGGACACCACATAGTGCCTTCTGCCAGGCACCTCCGTCTTCTGTAGCCCTGGCTGGAGTTCTTAATTCCTCATCAAAGACTTAAGAGCATAAGAAAACAGAGTTGGAGTATCTGGAAACCTTCACTTTGATGGTAAATAAGGTCTTTCACAAACTCTGAATGTGTTGTATCCTTCCCCACTTCCTCTATTGAAACTCTGGGCGCTGTTTGCCAGGAAAAGAAGAGCAACAACCAAGATGATGGACAGGGTCCAGCTTTTCCCCAAAATACTAATGAGGTTGAAGCATCCCATAAAAAGGAGATGGTAGAAAATAAGATCGAGAAAAGAGGTTGAGTATAAACTAGCTCAGCCATAACATTCATTTCATATGCATGAATTGGTGTGGTTCAAAGAGTCAATGCCTGGTGCACAGTAGGCTTCTTTTGGTCAGGCCCAGAGTGGGACTACTCCTGGACTGAAAGACGGAAAATCCAAGCCCATCTTTTTGCAAGAAGAGCATTTCCCTGGTCATATTTCAGGCATAGATTATTTTAGCTTCCTTGTCCTTTCAATACTGGTATTGGCCCAGGTAAAGTAACAGATCAGATTTGGTGCTGAAGTTCAGTAAAAGCACTGAAGAAAAAAAAAAAAAAGATTGCTTGATTGCCTGGCAATCATGTTAAATTAAGACTTCTTAGCATCAGACTGTTTTTTTATTTACAAGTCCCAGGTGGTGCTAGTGGTAAAGAACCTGCCTGCCAATGCAAGAGACATAAGAGATGCTGGCTCAATCCCTGGGTTAGGAAGATCCCCTGGAGACAGAAATGGCACCCCACTCCAGTATTCTTGCCAGGAGAATCCCATGGACAGAGGAGCCTGGCGGGCAAAGTCCATAGGGTCACAAAGAGTCAGACACGACTGCAGCGACTTAGCACACAAACTTGATTCTGGCATTTCCTTTACTACTATGGCTTCTAATAGACTATACATTATGCAACTATAAAAATTTCATAGACACATTGAAGCTATAGTAATGTACAATTGAAGAGTCTTGAACAACAGGTTATTCTAAAAATATTAATTTAGTTTATACTTCATACTTAATCCCTTAGTAACTTCAACTTAACTTTAGTGGAGGAAAATTGCTTTACAGTGTTGTGTTGGCTTCTGCTGTACAACACAAATCAGTCATAATTTTATATATATATATATGTATATCCCCTCCCCCTTGAGCTTCTCTTCTCTCTCCCATCTCACCTTCTACTAGCTTGGTTAGCCCCAATTCTTCCTCATAGCCATAATCTATCAATAACATGTAATATATAATCACTTTCCAATTATGGAAACAGTGGAACAACAGACTGGTTCCAAATAGGAAAAGGAGTACGTCAAGGCTGTATATTGTCACCCTGCTTATTTCACTTATATGCAGAATACATCATGAGAAACACTGGGCTGGAAGAAGCACAAGCTGGAATCAAGATTGCCGGGAGAAATAACAATAACCTCAGATATGCAGATAACACCACCCTTATGGCAGAAAGTGAAGAAGAACTAAAAAGCCTCTAGATGAGAGTGAAAGAGAAGAGTGAANGAGCAACTAGTTTCTATGATTGGCCTCCAAATGAGATCATTGTTAGAGTGTACTATCTGTCTGCTATCCTATGACTTCCTATCACTTCCTTTAAAAAATCCTCCCCATGGACTTCCCTGGCAGTCCAATAGTTAAGCCTTCTTCACCTTCCAGTGCAGAGGGTGTGGGTTCCATCCCTGGTCGGGGGACTAAGATCCCATGTGCCTCGTGGCCACAAAACCAAAACATAAAACAGAAGCAATGTTATAACAAATTTAATAAAGACTTTAAAAATGATCCACATAAAAAAAAAACCTTAAAAAAAAATCCTCCCAATTTCACATACCTCAGGCTACACCCCACTTTCTTCCTCCCTATAAAAATTTCTAAAGAGTTCTACTTATTGCTGGGGGTAAGCAGACTAGTGCCCAGCCCCCGCAAATACTCAGGTTCTAATCCACAGAATTATGAATTGCTACTTTTCATATTCAGAGGTAATCACACACAGATATGATTAAGGACCTTGTGATGGAGAGATTCTCCTGGATTAGCCAGGCCACTGCAATCTAATCACTTGGATCCTTAAAAGCAGGGAAACTTTCCAGGGTTGATTACAGAGGGAGATGTGATTAAGAAAGGTTGGAAAGCTGCAGCACTACTGATTTTAGAAGATGGAGAAAGGGGACCACAAGCCAAGGAACATGGGCAGTCACTGACAGCTGAAAAAAGGCAGAGAGACTGACTCTCCCCTGGAGCACCCACAAGGAACACAGCCCTGTTGGGACCTTGATTTAAACTCTGTATGATGCACGTTGTTCACATAACCCACAGAGCTATCAGACAATCATTTTGTGTTGTTTTAAGCCACTAGGTTTATGGTAATTTTTTTTACCATGGCAATAAAAAATTAATGTTACCCTTATTCCTTTACCTCACCTGAAATGTCCACATCACATAATCAAATCCATCTAATACTATTCCCAAAAAAATCACAGAAAGCAGTGAAAGTAGTATGTGATTAAAATATACAGGAAAGAAATCACAAGTACCACAGCAAGAAAGCCAATTGATGGAAAGGGATATATAATGTAGTAGGCTCCTCTTGGTGATGCAGAGAATTTTCATTTTTGCAGTTGCAGAAGTACTTCTGAACTCATGTAAACATAAAATAGAACATTGTGAAATATTTTGCATATCTTTTTAAAGTTACTGGGTTTTAGTATTTTAGGCAGTTTTAAGTTTATAGGAAAAGTGAGCCGAACATAGAGTTCCCATGAATCCTCTTACATTCTACCCTTCCCC